AATTAGGCCTTGCATTTAGCGCGCCTCCCAAAAGAGTCTGCCTTCCTCTCCCACCACCGCATCTGCGCAGGAAGCATTTGGTCTGCCACAGAACCGCGCTCTTTGTTCACAAGAACTTTCAAATGAGATCAGAGCATTTGAGATTTGGATTCTTGATGATGTTAACTTCCCTGCTTCACCCGTTCCTCCCTTTCTGCAGCTCCAGTGGGGAATCCCCAAATGGCTGAGTTGCCTCCGGGCAGCGGAATAGATGCACGGCCCAAATTAAATTCCTGGGCCGCAGATGACTTCACTGACCCTCTGGCTTCCTGAGTTCAATGGAAATGATTGCAGCATGTGGACAGTGATAATTAACACAATTCAAAGTGCCCCACTGTCCAAATCAAACCCTGTACAAGTTACTAAAGGGACAAAGCCCATATTTGAACCTGTCTTACTCTACACAGACAGTGGGTGTTTATATTGTATTTCTGCTCCTTGGGGTATTTGCCTGAGATTAGGAGAAATGTCTCGAGTTTTATTGGGGACAATCCCTGACAGTGCCGCGCTTTACTATCACTATCATTTTTTATTGGGAGGGAATTGACATAAAAAATGTACCATAAAATCCTGCCCCATCATGAAATAACCTTTAAATATATTGATTCAATCCGATATGCTTTTACAACCTGTGAGGACCAATCTACCTCCTGATTAGGTTTGCTCTCCAACTGTTTCCACTGTGTGATTTCAATCATGAAGTGAGGACACCGCTCATTTTCATCCTGAATAGCACTTGGTGACAAATGGTGGGTTTTGATTAAAGTTCTGCAGGCTCTCCGGGGCCATTAAGTGACCTTATCACCTTTTTACGATAAACTCCTCAGACATGCTTGGGTGTTTCCATATGAACTTCTCAACCTATAATAAAGGCATCAAAAGTAACTTACAGCAGTCCTGGCACTATCATCTTCAACCCGGAGAGGCTGATATTTTCATTTAATAATACAATTAATGATAGATCAAACTGGGTTTTCAACCTTGTCTGGACAAGAATCAACCATTGAAAAGAGATCAATTCTTACTTCATCAAACTGGAGAAAGTTTTTTTCAAAGGGAATATATTTTGCAAATAAAAGTTAGCACTTATCAAAAAACTCTGAGACTCCTAAATTGTTTTTATGGACTCAGACACTTCACCCAACCATCCATCGATGTAGCGGTGAGTAGATAATGGGAGAATATCCATTTTTTGGTGAACTATCAACTTTAGTTTCCACAAGGGTTAAAGCCAGGGTTGGTAATCCTGGAAAAGCTGGCAAAAGCAGGCTACACTACACAAAAAATGCCATCGATACATCAAACCCCCTCCCGTCCAAGCTGCACGCCCAGAAAACATGAGCAAACTGCTTGACAGCTGGTAGAAACCGACTTTTCCGTGACCCACTCGCTAACATCGTCTCATGTGCAGTACAAGCAGGGACGCAGGCAGGTTGGTTAGTGACAGATAGCTATGCCAGTAAATTATTTCCTTTGGTCAGAATAAAATGATTGATCATTTTTATTACAGCCCTGTGAGAGCCACACTGATGTAAAGAGGATTTCAAAAAATAAGATTATTATTTTTGAATATAGGCTACGCCAGTTTGATTTGATTTTAGGAGGAATGTCATCAAAGGGGAAAAAAACACACCTCATTAAATAAACTACTAAACTATACTTTACTATTTTAGTTGTCTGGCCCAGCAAGTTAAATACTCTCAAGACTGTTTACGAAGTCTCAGAGTTTATCCAACACCAACAGACCAAGAAGCCTGCAGAGAGAAACTGCATCTCCGAAAGCTTTCCTGCGTGCAGTAACCCTTGTCAGCCTAAACATCTGATCCATCAGCTGGAACGAGGCTGCCATTCAGCAGCCCTGCTTTCAGAGACTTGTTTCTTGACAACCGCTGCGTCCCGAGGAGTGCCAGTTCACTTGGGAGCTGTGAGAGGAGTCAGCATCGAACCACTTTGGATACAACCAGAAAGAGGCCAGCTCCAACCCGACGCCATGAAGTAGGCTAAACCTCACTTCTGCTGTCCATGATAAGAGTTGATGTTGGATTGCGCTCTAAATTATTAATGTAATTAGTCCTAGATAAATTATTCAACCCCATATAGTTTGGTTCTCTGATTATTCTTATTCACACAATTACATTTAGTATCATCAACTAAAGTGAGCAGTTCTTATCTTTCAAAGTATGGCTGTAGACTCCCAGTCAAATGGATGATAGGGCGACAAGTGCTACAACAATGGGTCTCCAGGATTAATCCAATATTTTCAGCAACAGGACAGATGGACCATAAAGCTGTAAAAAACAGGGATGAGTTTAGAACGCACTCTTCAAATGGGGAAACTAGAACTGGTTGTACATTCTTAAAGACAACATTGTAGGTGGGGGATCACTGATGGTGATGAGACATCATTGTTTGCATATATCCCAACTGGAGGTGGTGGAAAACACAAGGTAACAAGTACTGCACACCTTTCAGGAGAGAACTAAATACAACCAAGACCTGACATTTGAACTCCTGGATCTCTACCTAAACAATTCCCTCTTTTCAGTACAATGACAATATAAGCTTTGCAGTTTTATGGACTCATCACTATCTCTTTTAATAGAAGTAGAAACCAGGATGCTGAATTCCTTTTGAGAAACTGAATATTAAAGTTGAATATGTGGATGACACGTGGGTCAAAATTTAAACCCAACACAACAGAAACATCATGTTCACACAGGAGAAAATAATATTTTTTGGACTGTGCCATACACACTGAAGAAGACAGAATACTTCCACATTGGATGATGCATGAAACCCACACACAGACATGCTCTTTGACTCACAAGTTGGAAACCTAAACTCAAACTTTGTGAAAACCGCAACACTGTGAGTTGTGAAGAAATGATGAATTAGCAAAATTGCCATCACATTATTACACCACTGCTTCAAAAGCAGCAACAAACCAAGAAAAACAACTGAACATCCAAAACGCTGCCCACCCAGGAAAGCAATATACTGTATGCAGTTTTAATACAGTGCACTTGAAGTACAGACCTAAATATCACTGACCATCACTACCATTAAAAAAATGCATAGGTCAACTCATGAGGGTCAAATCCTGAGGTTATGAGTCAGCGAACATCAAAAGGATAAGTGGTATAGACGAAGGATGGATGGAGGGAGGGAGGGAGGGAGGAAAAGTGGTTTGAAAGGAGTGAAGGGGGCCATCCATGTCAAAGACGAGAAACCATCACTCAACCTATCCTCCTCCTATAATGCATTCAGTCAAGTCCTTCCTTCCCAGGAGACATAGCGAACATTCCCACCTCATGTGACTCCAATGACTCCATCGACTATCGCTACAACAGCCAGGAGCACTAATGAACTTAGTCACATCAATGGCCTTGTAAAAAACCCACAGATATTATATACTGTATATACGTAGGTCCTTCCACAAGTCAGTCAGAAGTGAAGAAGCATCTCTCTATGATGAGGTGATCCAACTTCAAAAGTCTATAACCAAGTCAAGATGCCCTTGTTTGAAGTAGTTGTTGTAATAACCATGACCTGGTTCAATGAAAACCTTCAGACATCTTAGTTGAAGAAAGCAGTGGTGTTAAGATTAAGATTCCTTTATTGTCCCACAACTACAAGCAACATGGGGGGAAATTCAGTCTCTGCCTTTAATCCGTCCTGTGTGAGCAGTGAGCACACGGAGCAGTGGGCAGCTACTGAGAGTGCCCGGGGAGCAGATGTAAGGTGGGAGTTATGTGCCTTGCTCAGGGGCACCTCGACAGTGGTGTCTGACCTCTAAGTCCCAATTCATGCTTCTGCCTTGAAGCTACGCAGTGTGTATGCATGTAGCCTATGCACGAATGATTTCCGGTTTCTGGTCGGCTTGTATACAAGTTCTCTAGCGTTCTCAAGCGTCTACTTCAGAACACTGGCAATCGTTACTAAGGCGATTATGTTAGAGTTGGACCTTATAGATCAGACATGTCAAACCTGCGGCCACTTCCGGTCCCTGGTACAATTATATCCGGCCCAATATGAAATATCATATCCACAGGCCGAGCCAAGGTGCACAATGCCTGGCTAGATGCACATGGAGCGAGTGCCCCTCCTCACCTGCCGAGTATTTGATGTTATTAAATCATTTTTCCAGTGTTCCAGAGATCCCAGTGACTGTGTGCTGCTGTCTGTGCCCCGTCAAGTTCTCTCACATGTTTTCTTCTCTGTGATGAAGATGAACAAAAACCAACACAGGAGTCGTCTCACTGATGCACACCTTCACTCCATCTTGAGGGTTTCCACAGCACAGATCCTAACCACGATCATTAATGAACTGGCAGCCAAGAAAAGATGCCAAACATTTCGCTCTGGCACATGCAAATAAAAGAATAATGTAGCTGACCTAGATATATTTTTTTTTTTGCACTTTATCCAATATCCTGTTATAGATGTTCCTTTAATTCAATTCCTTCAACTCAATAATGGCAGTGAGTCTGATAGAAATGCGTTGCTACCAAGCGGGTCAATCACAGCTCTTGGTCTGCGTCACGTCACGGTACAAATGGGCTTTACTGAGATAGCACGAGATTTCAACATGTTTGGTGGAATGTCCTCGGACAAACAGGGCCCACGCTGTATTCACACCTGGCTGATTATAAATCTTAAAAGTACTAAACAATCAACCCATTTTACATTTTGATTGTGATATGTTCTATGTGTATTAAATGTACGGGTCAGAGATTTAGATATAGGTAACATCTTCAAACCAGGTATAGATCGAGTCTCTGTCTGTGCTTACAACTGTAATTCAAAAACCTGTCCAGATTTAACTTTTGGTCACAAGAAAGGTGACTGGTTTATTTTGGATAGAAAAACTGCCCACGCCAAATCCCCAAATGCTGCCAAAAGCTTTTTCTGCTGAGATACAAACAGTACAACGTTCCACTTCACAAACAGCTTGTGTTCACCTGAACGTGGCCTTGAGGATCTGTCCGGAAGTGCTCTCTTTGGTGTGGTTGTTGTATCCGTAGAAAAGATCTCCAAACACCGTCTGGTTAGCGGGAATGTCCAGCGCTTCCCCACAGTCGATTCCCTCAGTGCAGGCCTCAGACAGTGGCAGGCAAGACCTTCCATCTGGACCACGCTTGTAGTCCTCGATGCACCTGGAGTGATACAAGTCTCAGTCACTTCATTCATTCATATACAGTATTGCTTCACCTCCAACCTTTTTTCCTGAGAATTGTGATATACAGTAAATTTACCCACTCTTACTTAAGTGTTGATTTGCTTGTTGGATTATTTGCTCTTCCATCTTCTAAATTCTTTTTACTGAAGTTTCAAGGGTAAGAAAATTCTTGAAATACCAAAAGTACAGCTAAGCATTACATTTTCTTTTCATAACAATGGACTTGTCAAACTGCAAATTAAGAGAAAAAATGTTACACTCTCATTTAAACAATCAACTGTATGACAGGGAACTGTTCTCTCTTGGTGAGTAGAAAATTATTATGGGGGATTACATAGCAGATTAAATGAACAACAGGACACCTTCCCTGATCTGAACACTCCTCTTTCACAAAGTGCAATAAATATATATTGGGAAGTGCATAACTAAAAATTAAAATGTGTTATATGAATCATGGGCATGTTTTTTTGTTGTAATACTCCATGCTGACTTCTGATTAATAGTGATTCCAGAGTAAAACCCATTTTGAATATCTGTTTCTTCAAATTCTCATTTTAAAAGCATGCCCTGTTTCTTATAATCAAGCATTAACAATTCTAAGCTGTAACAAAAGTGTTGAATGCATTTTTATGTTTTTCATAAAACATTTGCCAAGCCTGTATTGTTTGCACTTTAACAGCATTTTCCCTTCCATTGGTGGTTTATTGCATCATATCTTGGTAAGTTACGGCCATCGATCGAACAGTGGTACTGTGTAAAACCATTGGCTGAGCTGCATGTGCATTGCATCACTTTTGTTCATGTGCTGAGAGAATGAGGGCAGAGATGTTAACACCAAGTAGGCCTGAATAATTTAGGGGAGCCTATATGTTCTTCCTTGTTATCATGGTGTCGAATGTCCATATTAAATGTGGCCGAAGTTTCAAATAATGAGGTAACTGAATGTGAATCCTTGTGAAATGAAATATCTATTTGTAGTTGCTAATTAGTCTTAATTCAAAAGCATTGTAAGGATTTTGGGAACACACTAATAATGTGTTTTTAAAGACTTCCTGTTACACATAAAAACTTTTTCACACACATTATTCTTGCACAAGTCTCAAAAGTATGTGCTTATCAATCTGGGGATGATTTTATGGAATAGACAGATAAGAAATGAAACAAGTGAAAATCTCAAGGCAGTGATGTAGTGGACGGATGGACACTAGGGGGAGAGTGGAGTTGCATTTGTAATTTTCATTTGATTTTGTGAAGAATAAAAAAATCAAGAAGCATATGTCTTTTTCCTACTCCTTTTCAGAAAATGAAAAAAAAAAAACATTATAAATGTTTGAAATGAAGTGAACTAATTGATGGGGCAGTGCTCACAAACATTGGATGTGCTGCCCCTTGACCTGGCTTCCGAATGTGCCGATCAGAATAGTAAGCTTTCAGGGAGCTGGGGCTGGAGAGTCTGGAGCTCACTTTTTGCCCACTTTCTGTCTGAGGCTCTGCATAACAGGCAGCTCGAGTGTTTTCAGCTGTGCTGGAAATGAGCATAATAAGACTCCTTTAATTTCTTTTATATCCAAATTGAACACCCAAAATAATGCAATATTCAATGGTAAGTGCTGCAATTTTAAGTGCAAATTACAAGTGTGTCTTAAAAGGCTGTGACAAGTGATAATTCAAACCGACAAGCGAGGATTTCATCAGCTCCAACAAATTAACTCAATTGTAGTTTATTACATTTCATCAACATCAGTGAGATATTGAGATAAATAAAGGAAACTCACTCTCACTCTGATCTCTCTCTGTACTCAAAAAATGAAACACTGCTCTGTCTATCTATAAGTTCCCTTCATCTGTTTGATAGCTTGGCAGTTGTTGCGGGTAAATAACAGACAACTGGTGAACAGAGTTCTCTAAATCTGTGAAACTTTTAATCACGTCATAAAATGTAATGCTCACCACCCTCGAAGTCCTGAGGAAGGTAATCGGAGATATAAAAGCTGTGAAGCAGCTCGTCTTTGAGGCAGTCTGTAAAACTAACACGACGTGAGCTCCGACAGTGCAGAGCCAACAGCAGTGTCATTCGATATTGTTGGGTCGATATAAAACATTGTTAGATGTGCCACACCACATGATTGATGTCAAGTATAGCGGCAACATGACATAAACTTGGGCTAATTTCTTTTGTTTTTATACTTTTTTGTCACAGCATAGCCTATTGCTGATTCCTCAAGCTCCTATCACATGACCCTCCTCCATGACCCTACATGCATGTCATTCATATTCTCAGGACGATGATTAAAACTGATACGTAGCCAAAACACTCGTGTGGCCAGAGATCCTTTCTGTATAAAAGCTTTTAAACGAAAACAGGATTGTAAGGATTCAGCTAAGTAGACGTTACAGCTGAAGGGACCTTGCAGTGCCTTAGGGACCTGATTGGAGCGACATCCAGTCCAGCTCTCCAATCAGGAGCATAGATCAAGACAGCAACCCCCTTCAGAGCGGATCAGCTCGTCATTCGGGGCAACTTGCCAGCATGCTTCATGTGTCAATCCCTCTGTCCAAACTTTGTGTAGTGAACTTTGAAATAGTAAAAAAAACACTTTGAGAATCTAAGTGGAGACTGGGGCAGGTTTAGTTTTTAGCAACCGATTCCGCACTCACAGCTTTTGGATACATTTCTGTATAGACTAGTAACAGGAGTGCAGTTTTGGATGCACTTCTGTGCCATTAGTAGAATCATTAGGTTTTGTTTCACTCAGACTTTATTTAAAGAGAGGGTCAATTTGTAACTCTGGTTTTATAGTCCTTTTTCGTTCTATTTATTCATTTGTTTTCAACAACATTCAGCTGCCCTGTTCCCCTTCAGATATCTCATGTGTGCTTGATTATTTACACCTTTGTGATAATTCACTTTTATTTTAACCAACTACATCTAGTTTTTTGTTGCTTCCCTTACCCCTCACAAGCTGGGTTGTAACAGTAGACCACAAATACAGGTATTGGAGGGAGAAATTGCAGTTTAATTTACAGAATGGGAATACTGGACACAATGCTTCTCCTCGTATCATTCATTCCCAACTCTAAGCATTAAGTACCAATCAGTTGTGATACACATGGGTGATATCAAATATGTTTGTGAGCAAACTGGTGGAAATATTGATTTAACCATGAGAGTTAGTTATTTTAAGACATTGTCTACAACATTTTTCCTGGATCTAAAATATGCACAGCTCAGGCATCACACAGCTCTGTACTGAAGAATCAGCTACATTTAATTCAACTCAAGTGGCACAAAATCCCCCATCTCAGAAAAAGGGGTTAGAATCTAAACACAGAGTTCTCTCAAGACTCTTTCATATTGATGATGTTTTGACATCTTGCTGTATAATGTAGTCACCGGAATGAATCAAAGGCAGATAAAGCAAGAGAGAGTAAAATGGGAGACGGGGGGGGTTAAAGAGCGAAAGATAATCTGTCAAGGATTCACACGCATAGAAGCTCTCTCCTGGATGCCAAATGTCGCAAAGCTAATGTGAGTCTCCAGTGGGGAGAGAGGAGGGTGAGCCACATCTGCACAATGGAAAGTGACATCAAAACGCTGCTGTTGGGAATTAGATTCAACAGCAGTTTGTATTACCCCTTTCTGCAAACTTGACGTGAAATTTTGTGTCCATAACATGATGTTCATTGTAAAGGGGATGGGAGAAAAACAGTGGCTTGTTGCATTAGAGAGCAGCATGTGGTCTCTTTGGTGGATTCCACCGTGGAGAAAAGGACAACTCTTTGGCACATCGATAAATCCAGCACCTTCGAGCAGTTTTCACAGAGATGAAAATGCTCTGCAGGTATTCTCTTTATTCAAGTTGACATACCTCTGCTATGATTGACTTTGGGTGACACTATGACTCCATTTACACCTGCCATTAAACGCACCTTGTATCCAAATGTGATTTTAACCTGATACAGTATTAATACAGTAGGTGTCTCAGATTCATGTGGTAACAGGTGAAACACAACCAATGGCAAAGTGTCTCCATCAATCAGTAGAGGCTTATACTCGCCCGACTGCTCTGTGGAGAATGGTAAGTTACTCCCATTTATAATAAGTGTATGTTGTGAAAGTGGCTGTGGCTCAGGATGCGGAGCGGATCGTCCACTAACCAGAAGGCTGGCAGTTTGATCTGCGTCTCCTCCAGTCCACATCCTAAAGTGTCACTGGGCAAGAACCCCAAATTGCCTCTGACAGCTGTGATGTGTAATAGAGAAAGTGCTGCACATAAATGCACTGTATGACTCTCTGATTCCAGAGATATGCAGGACCAGATGACAACAACAAGTATTATTATTATTATTATTATTATTAATATAATTTACATTGTTATATTAACAGGTGCTGCTATCATTATTAACATCTTTACATCTATAATTATCACTTTTACTCTCTTAAGTCGCCAAAGCCTTTGCTCATTGTGGCAATTGTTGGGATTTTAGTTTAATATGTAAAGTGCCTTGAGATAATGTATATTATGATTTGCCACTAAACAAATAAATCTGGATTGAGTGTGTGTGTGTGTGTGTGTGTGTGTGTGTGTGTGTGTGTGAATGATTAAACTGTTATGGAAAAGGTCTGCACCTTGTGCCATCTATGGTCAATTTGTACATATTCTTCCATGCTATACAGAACATATGCTGTAGTTATGATTTGAATATTAATGAATACTTGGGCTGATAATTTGATTTTTATCTGTTTTACACACTTATTTTATTAAGTATACATTTACACTTTTCCTTCATTAAGACTCTTACGGTGGAGACAGCAGATATCACACTGTCTTCCATTCTCCACAGAGTTTACAATCTGAAGAGTTTCTTTTATACTTTATTTTTATGAATACATTTGTCAAATTTCCGTATTTTTCTCTCCACACAGACTGTTCCCCTGCGGCCAACCAAAGCCTGCCCAATCATGATTGGTCTAAATAGAAACAGAAACCATAAGGCTTTCAATAACAAAATATTTCCCCTCGTATCCAGATTCTGCAGATTTACATGCAGAATATGAGATTATTGTGTGTTCACTAACTGAAATGTAAAGGGATGAGAAATCAACACAATATATTGTGACCCATGAGAAATGTATGTTAGAAAACCTTGAGTATACAGTGTTATTGTTCACAATATGTTCTCAGGATTTCAGGTTGCTTCTAAGATTATAGATTTATTCAGCCTAATCCAGAAATTTAGGCGGAAGTAAAACCTTCCTTAGTGCTGCAGTATTTCTATTGAGCTCTTTTTAAATAATGTATAGGTAAAAATTTGTATGGAAGAGATCTGGGTGTTATTGGTATATAATCATCAAAATGTAAATAGCCATTTGTAAGCAGGCAAATGTAACCTCGTTTGCAGATACTTCTACATTTGATTCCACCTGCTTACATAGATTCTCATTCTCATGAAATAAGGATAAAGTACTATATTTTAATTTATCCCATATGGAATAACTTTCAGAAGCTTCTTCTCCATGGTTTATTTCATCTGCTTCTAATGGAAAATACAGACAGTTGGTTTATAAAATGATTTCCTTGGAAAATAACCTTCACCCGGGCCAAGTTAATACACAGTAATTTCACATGCGCCCGTCTAAAGGGCATACATGCATCCAATGTCTGCCAGGAGAGCATTATTATCTTTCACAGTGTGAAATTTCAAATTGTCCTCAGTATGCCAATACCTGTAGTAGAATATTAAATAATATTAAAAAAATATTTTTACTGCACACAGCAACAGTGTGAACACAGAACTTTTAGCAGCCCTGCACTTAGCCAAAACTAACAGTAAAAATAACCTTCAATTGTGCAGGGTGCAAACAAAGCTTTTACTGATACCTTTGCACAGGCAGTTAAAACTCTCAGTGTGCACTCAGCATTTTAACTTTTGCCCAAGTATTCAGGGCTGCCCTGCAAATTTTAAACTTGTCAAGGCCTACCATGCAAAGACTGAGGAGAAGTATTCAGATATGCAGGTACAAAGAAAAAAAAACTTCTACTTCAAGTTTTACAGACTTTTTGGACTCACTGCTCCAATTTATAAGACAAAGTCCTGAATGGTCAATATATAAACAAACAACTAAAAAACCACGCAGGTCTGACAACATCATGATCTCATTCTCCTAAGGGACATCTTCAGGTTGTTGCCCACGCTGCAGAGTGAGTGACTCACTGTCAATTATCCTCCACGAAGGAGACACCAGATGTAAAGAAATACAGCAAGTCGCCCACAGACGCTCACTTCCTCTGAAAAAACTTTCCTAAAAAACATATCAGACACGTCAGTTCCAGCCAAGAACACCAACTGCTGCTGAATCCTCCCGACTCCAACTCTCCCTATAGTGTTTCTCACTAATCGTCTGTTTGCTTTAGCCTAACCACTGAGAAACTCACTGTTTATCTGGCTTTAAATTGGACCGTTTGTGCTGGACTTTGCCCCAAACAAGCAAATGAACTGCATTCATTTGTGAAGAATTCAGTGTATAAATAGAAACACAATTTCCACATTATATGGACATCTGCATTAAGCAATGAGGAGGGATTGATTTCACCACTGATGAAGCACCAGATATGTACAGCATATGCAGGAGCACTGTGGAATTCTGGATACTAGCTTTATACTGGAATTTCCAGTTTGACCAAATGATGACACTAAAGACTCTATGAACTAATAACATTTGCACACCACTACTTGCAAAACATGGCATGTTAAGAACAGAATGATGGTAAATTTGGTGCATTTCTGCAGTAACCATATTGAAACATATGTAGAAACTCCCAGCAAAATAGATGCAATGAAATTACCTAAAAAGAGCTAATTGTAATTCCTGCTAAAGGCCTGTTTTTAGTTTTCAGTGAGAAACACAAGCTCCAGAATGATTATATTTGGAATTATGGATTAAGGATGAAGACTGGTGGCATTTAGGGCAAAGGAGAGGAAGACCGAGGCTTCTTTATAGTCGAACTCCATATTACACTATTAAGCAGTATATTGACACTTTTTGAAGTATTTTGCTTTGAGTTTTACAGTGTGATCTAAGGATGCAGAGGCAGAAGATGTGTCAACTATGCAACAAGATGTTATTGTAAGTAATTGGCAATGCAATAGAACTATGGGGGATTTGGGGCAGAGTGCTGGCAGACAATAATCACTTTTGGGAATGTGAATACAGTCAGCACAGTGACATTTACCAGAGTCCTAGAGAAACCGTAATAAGGAAGATGCAGTTGTACACTGTAGGGCTGTCAAAACTGCTCCAAAAGGGTTAGGGTTCTAACCATTCGAATACATGCACAATGCGCATTATGTCAATAACAGGAGGACAAACTAAAACAATGAGACATAACTACTTGTATAGGTATTTTTATTTCAGTTTTAACATAAAACATACCTACACATTACAAAATAAGTAAATGAACTAACCGTAAAACTTAGACCGTAAAAAAAGACTTCTCCGCCGCTCGCCCCCCTCTCTCTCTCTCTCTGCGCATACTGATTTAAATAAACTATTTGTTAATAACGGTTGGTAATAACGGGTCTCTGTGGCTGACGTGAGCTGAAGGTAGTGGGAGTGTATGCTGCGAGTTTAGGGGGCACGTCAGCCAGAGCTGTAGTGAGTGTGTATGTGAGTGAGACTGCTGCCTGCTGAACAGAGGGTCGCAGGGAGAAGGATCTGAAGTGCCCGTGTTTCGGCTACAAAATTCCGCCGAACCGATCCGAAACCAGCCCAAATTTGTATCCACCCGCCGGAACACCCTGGTCGTGTCTCACTTTCAGCAGTGAGTGACGCTGTGCAAGTGCAACTCCTGTGGCCTGTCCCTGACCCGTCATGCAGTGCGCCCACTTGCTAAGCAGCCGCTGATGTGTTTTTTTACACAGTCGAATATTAATTTTCACAATCGAATCTCCGTTTTTTAAAATATTCGAATATATATTCGAATTTAGAATATTCGTTGACAGCCCTAGTACACTGTTCCTTTGAGAGCAGGTGATAGAAGGTAAAGTACTGTAAAACTGGGGATGTACTGTATTTCAGAGAGTAATGCAGACAGAAGACTGACAAACTACACATACATGAATCTCTGTGGATTATTCTGAATTAAACCACAGACGAGCTAGCATCACAATGTGTGCAGAACTGTCCAATGATGATTTATTACAACAAAAAGAACTTATAGTCACGTAAAAAAAAACAAAGAGGGAAGTTTCTGTTCTGGACGACCTGCTTAATCGACTTCTCTGTCAGCAGAGGAGAGAAGTCGAGGGGCAAGAGAGTTTGGGAGAGTTTCGCATTCCAGTGCTTTGCTGCATTAGCACACTGGTTTGCTGCACAACCCAGAATGACAGTTACCATGAACCCTGTAGAGGATCTCACAAACAGAGGTGGATTTGTGACTATAATGTATGTGACCAGATGTCCTACTGGATACTACTTCTTAAAATGAAGAGGAGGTCAACTGGAATCATCAAAATGTTGTTAATGTTTTGTTTTTACCCTGATTTAATGATTTTAGATTGTTAGTTAATTGCTGTATTCAAACAAAAATATGTATATGGATAATGACTTGCATATTTTGTTTACTTATTATTATTTCAGCCAATAAATCAAAAGTATGTTAATGAAAGAAAGACAAGTCTAACATCATTCAAACTTAAAGAAACCTTCAGATCTGTGTGTAATGAGTGACAGTGTATGCTCTCTGACTGAGAATTAGTTTCATGGTCAAACTAGCTCATTTTGAGACATGACAGGTTTAGTGCAGGGCAATGTTTTCTTTGAAAAAGGACATGACAGGACATCTGCAGACGACGAGTTAGTGTGATGTGAATGACAAAGTCATCCACAGCAAACATCAGATGGTATACACTCTATATGGCAGACGGGTAAAGAAAATCCCAATTAGTGGTACAAAGAGAAGTCCGCAATACTGAGGGAGCACAACATAGTTACTGCAACTGTCTCCATCCTGCTGCGTTAAAGAAGAAAATAAGTCATTTTAAACTCAATTCAAACCTAGGAGGCTGACGTTCTCACAAATGTGCACTCTCATGGAATAAATTAAACATTAACAATGAGATGGACTTTCTAAAAGTCCTCAGTTCTACTTTAAATTTTTTTATACATAAACGCTGGAGACCAAATCAATTCATCCTCACTCAACCACCAAACAGTTGAACGGTCTGTTGCAATTTCAATATGCAAGAGACTGTAATGAGCGATTACTGTGCTGATTAATTGGGGTTTTGTAGATCTCAGTCTATGAGAAGTTTCAACAGCCTGTATGTAAGACCACTCATGTAATCAATGGTGAGGTCTTCAAGGATTAGTTCACATACTGGCAGAAAGCACCATTTCAAAGTAGTGAGGTATCTTCGACATTACTGACTGCAATATCCAACAAGTGGGTAACAAATTAAAGAGTGAAAAACCATCCAACCATGCTCTGTGTAAATGTACAATAAAATACTGAGCATGTCCTAATGACAACAGTTAACAGAAAATATATATGGGTGATGTCACAGTTAAAGTAATTGAACTGAGCCGTACACACTAAGAAGTAACTCATGTCTGCCGATTGTAAACCTTTAGCAGAGCCACATCAAATCAAACTCTGGTCACTGACAGCAGGTCAACACCACTGTAATGTGTGTAATTATGAATTATTATTGCAAATCTGCTCTTCCTTACCCACAGAACATCTGGATGTTGTAAAGGGTCGGGTCATCCTCCAGAGGGGCCAGCTGCTGGAGACACAGCTGCTCACAGCCGCCATTGAAACCGTCAGAGCAGTCGATGCCGATGTGGTGGTCGTAGCACCCGGTCCCATCCTTCATAGGACTCAACCCCGGAGGGCACTGTGGAGAGAATGTTTTTAGATGAATAATGTTAGTGAGGACACTTTTTTTTTGCTTTTTTCAGGGATGCTTTCTTAGAGCTGCCACATTAACACGAATTCCAGATGGGGCAGGTAAACAGACACGATAACATCTGTGCCACAGAATGCTAACTGCCAGATTTCTGTTCCCATTAGTGTGGCTTGTATGAGCACTGAGCTTAATGTGTGTAAAAGCTGCACGAGACAAGCCGTTTCACATTAAATTCTCATATTATCAGCCTAAATAATAGCACAAGACAACATCGGAGGGCTTCGAACACTTAGAAACACTTAACATTTAGTAAATCAGAGGCCGGCACATAAAGGGGCCATGTACGTTACTATATTTGGAGGAGACTCAAGTCCCATAGTGGAGTTATAAAGAATCCCTATGTCGCCACCTCAAGTATTATTTGATATGCTGCTTTGAACTGTGACAGCAAACAGTTTCATCCAATACTTCACCTCTAAAATCAAACCCAAGCTGGCTACATCAAAAGAAAATGCATCAAAAGACTCATTGCATAGATGACACATAGATGTGTTGTGTGGTAAAGGTCGGGTCAAATCTGCTTTCTGAGAAACGAACACCCAGTCGACACATGTGCAACCCACAGAGTAAAGCTCTCAGGCTGAACTGTTATGTCACTGAATTTCTTCTTACGAGCTGCAGCATTAACAACAAGACTGTCTTCAACTGTGCAAGTGGCTCTGTAAGGATGTGTTCAACAGTGTTATAAGCCATATGGTAATTAAGCTAACTTAGCCGGCCAATTTTAGTGCAATTGATTCTGTTTCAGAAAGTCAATCTCTACCAAGGATTTTTCACTTAAAACCATAAATGAATGATGATGGTGCTTTGTCATGCGATGAGATTACATACAAAGTCATTGCAAAGACGCAATTAGACGCAAAGTTGCCGTCAATCGTGTCATTTGCACAAATTTTATCGCAGGAGTGCAATAAAATTTGTGCAAGTAACACCAAAGCAGCATAAATATTTTGATTTTGTCCAACAGTTATTTATATAAACAGGTAATGTATAATAAGATTCACCATCTGAGGACTAAAGGTCAGTACAAAAGGCCATGGCAACACGTCCAGTATTTATTGACATAAATCAGTTCGGACAAAAGGGTTGGGCCGACTGTCAGTGGATCCACATTCCAATTTCTTGAGCCATAGAAGGACAATAAAAACAGTGTTTGGAATATAAACTGGCTGATTAGTATCAAAAATCATCAAGAATTATGATATCACTTGAAAGAAATGTGGTATTGCTCTGCTTCGATAGAAGAAAAGTGCATTTCCCCTGGTTGACTCATTCAACAGCCACAGAAGGTAAATGTTTCACTGCATAATCGGTTCATGGGTTTCACAGAGGGGGTTTTAAACTTTTCTCTTGTATACATTACAGAGCGAAAGAGCTATCTCAAAGCACGCCCACTTGATTATTTACTGTGGCGCCAAGAATGACAAGAACAGTGATGAAATGGCAGAACACCAGGCACCTTTTTTTAAAGGATTATTGTTCTGTTGAGGGAGATGAGGCAATACTGCGGTTTAACATTTAGATTCCCAGACAATTCAGACAGCGCTAGATGTATGTTTGAAGAGTGAAATGAAATCCTTTAGTTTTGAAAAATGCCAAACAATGGATGTCACAGATAAACTTAATAAAAGAAAAGTTTTATCGAGCGGTTGACGACTTAATTAAAATGCAGATAATGGGTGATGTACAAGCGAGGTGTGAGACCTGATTCCACCTCAGCTCCCTCCTTCTACAGCCGTGTTCAATATTTCCCTAGACTTTTTTTTCCCCCAGGGACCTGTCAACTCAAATTCACATTATGTTTTCTGTCAGCCATTACTTCAAAGGGAACTTTGATGGAGTGCGTTTTAACAAGGCGCTGCTACCTTCAGAGCAGCGACTAGTCAGTTACTCTCCTCTGAGCACAGACACATCAGCAACTGCTTTTATTATTTAGTCCGACGCTCTTCATCAGCAGGTCCAGGTGGCTCATTTGGCTAATAAACGTCTCACGCTTGTTATGGCTTCCAGTCTATACGACACCTTTTGTGGAAGTACAATATACATTTTTATGCATTTTTTTTTTCTAGTAGGGTTTAGTGTGTTCTATTAAATTCATTATAGATAAAAGATTAACAGTGGCAGCTTTATAAAAAAAAAAAAAGCTCTAAAAACTTAAACTTATTGGAGAGCTGAACAATTTAATGAAGCCTACCAAAGCCTGGAGAGAGAGGACATGGAATAACTGTACAAGCGGTGCATCTCAGAAGGTTTCTGAGTTGTGAAGTCTTTGTTTCGACTTTGGCTACGATTTAGAGCCAAGTGTAAAATTGTGTCGATTGGTTTATGGGTATTGATGTCAGCAACTCACCACCTTGTGTACACACATTTTTACTTTCCAAGTTCACATGAATTTTCCTAGTCGGTAACTCATATTTCTGATTATTTCGACACCCCCTGAATGCACTATAACATAATGAGACCCTTCCTATGATCCAGAAAATTAAATGCTCTAGTGGGTGTGACCAAAACACACATTGATATGTTTAATTTGTACATTTATATGTGAGTTACTTAACAAATAAATGCTTACTTTATAAGTATGATGTGTATGAAGTTCTTTATCCACTTTTTACCAATCACACAAATTAACATGTACATATTCATAGTTGATATCGCTGCATAGGGAAGTTCTCTGAACTTCTATCGTATGTCTCAGAGGATATATGAACAAAAGCCAATCAAAACATGAGAGGAAAATGAGGCCTTTACATTATGAATATTTTTAGCTTTACTTATTGAGAATGAGACGGGACTCTGGGGTTAGCAACTTTATATTTTAGATGTTTCAAGCTCTACAGTACATTGATGGCAGAGTTTAGAAAGAAAAGGAGGAGTACAAGAAAATTATTTTAACTAGTGAGATAACGAATTCAGTTTGTGAGACTGTGACCAATACCCAGGCAACAAAACCAAGCAGCAAACAGAGTCTGGTAAAGACAGGCATGGTTCACATATAAGTTGGCAACATGGACAGCAGGGGGATACTCACAGGCAGGAATGGGAAGTAACGGCTTGACAGCTATGGTTAAGTAAGCAACATAGATCATTTGGCCAGATAGATGGGTAAGAGAGCAAGTGTGTATACGAGAGGAGGAAATGAGGAGCAGGTGTGCAGGGGGTTGTGGTGATCAGGTGACAGGAAAAGGTGGGGACACGCTGAGGACACCCGGTGGGAAGACCGGGAAGGAGAGTTCACAGAGTGAAGCTAAAAGGGAAAAGAAAGGAAACAGGACAGGTGTCCCCATTCTATTGTTAGTGATTGTTAGTTTGGACTACAGGGTTTGAGGAAATGAGAATACAAAATACCACCCTTCACACTGATTGTTGAGTCTTGGTAGTTTCCAGCCAACCTGATTGTGACAAACTCAGATTTGCTACTTTTCAGAGTTGGAGGTTTGGATTCTTTATAGAATGACTCTGAAGTTGGTTTATTATGTTTATATATATTTAACAATCACAACAATATGTATATACTCTTGTTTAATTGTAAATACATCATCAGCACTGCTTATCATTTGAGGGTCATGGGGGGGAGCAGCAGCCAATCCCAGCTGACATTGGGGCTGGGTACACCCTGGACAGGTCACCAGTGTACCACAGGGACGAGCTACAAAGACAAATGACCATTCACACTCACATTCACACATACAGTTAACCCTAACCCTCATTCACCAATTTAAGAAGATATGTTTTATTTTCTGGGATTTGTTCTTATGTAAGAACAGAATCTATCACAATGAGTTGCACTCTTACGCAGACTTGACAACAGAAATGCTTGTGTAAAATAATCAGTTTGTGTTTTGACTTTAAATTATAATTTGGTCTTTACTGCAAAAGATAACACTTTTTAAACTCATGAAGATGTTGAAGAGGAGAACATTAAGTCACAAAAATAGTCACCCATCTTTAGGTTTTCCTTACTAAATGTGTGACATGTTCCATAGTTTTACTGCAACAATCTTTGGTTAAAATGTTTAATCCAAGTGTAGCCTGTTAATTCTGAAAAAGAAGTTTATTTCTGAGATGAGGGATGGCTCAGGAGAAAACATTTTGTCTGAACCTGGCTCCCAGCAGGCTCAGGTCGAGCATCCACAGATGCTCAGCTGAAGGTTCACCTGCGGTGCTGTGTTTCTAGTGATGTTCCAGCTCAGATAACTTTTCGTTTCCCTTCCCCTTCTGTCTTCTGTGTTTGACAATATTTAATTTGATTTCAGAACTGATATCAAACAATTTTTTTACTTCAATAATGTGATTTTCTCCCAACACGGCTGTCTCTGAACATGTAACTGCAGACCTTCTATTGCTTTTTTGTGGTATTTTTAATGTTTGAATCGGTTTGAATCAGGTGCGGCGCCATCTTTAGATTTCCATTCAGTCATTTCTGGCTTCTTAAATTTTCTTTTCAGTTTCTGTGATTTCTGTTTGTGCACATGAAACTGCAGTCTCATGCCCTTATATGGGCATTGATGGGGCGTATACCTATGGTAATTAGGAAAATCTGACACGGGCTTTCAACTTATGCAAACAAGGCATTCATCAATATAAAAACACAAATGCGAACAATTCTGCAGTTAAAAAACGGCAATTGAAAAATAATGAAGCCTAGAACCAGGTATGGACGAGCCTCTGACACAGGAGTCGTTCCCTGGACCTCAGAATACTCTGACTATGTACGTGCAAGTATTAAATTAACTACATGATATCTAGACTAAGACCTGTTTCTGTTATATTGTTGAATCTTTTACTTTACGAAGCACTTTGGTCACCCAAGTTGTTTGAATTGTGCTATATAAATAAAATTGACATTGACATCGCAGTTTAAGAACGTGTCATGAATCTGACGTAGAGTTTTCATACAGTTTTTACAAATTAAAGAAAATTCTTAT